TTAATAGTAGGAGAAGGAACACAGTTGATAATATAGGCAGCTGTGAGAACGGCTTCTCCCCAGAAGCGCTCAAGACAAGAAAAGGAATTAAAAAAGCACGGACAATATCTAAAAGATTACGATGTTTACGCTCAGCGCGACCATTTTGTTAGGAGGTACCGGGACAAGAATAGTGAGAAAGTATGCCATTTTGACAAAGGAATTTCAAAAAAATTGTTTCTTTGTATTCTTGGGCATTATCAACACGGAAAACTTTGATGGTGGAAGAAAACTGAGTTTTGACCATTTGTGAGAAATCATAGTATATTTGTGGTAACTCAGAGCAAGACTTCATAAGAAATAACCAAGTAAAACGAGTGAAATCATCTACAAAAATGACAAAGTATTTAGATCTCCCTATAGTGGTATTAGGTGCCAGTCCCCAAACATCAGAGTGTATGAGATCAAAAAGTGCATGAGACATAGAAGTATTGGATGGAAATGGTAAAACAGATTGTTTTGCTAGTTGACAAGATAGACAATCTACTTTATCATTTGGAACAAGACCTAATTGACTGCCGAAAACTAGAGATCGTAAACAACGAAAAGAAACATGACCTAACCGAGAATGCCATAAGGCAAAAGGAGAACTAGAAGTAGTAAGAGCAGTAGTCTGGACTGTGGAAGGACTAGAGAAGGGAATGTGAAGATGAATAAGCTCATATAGACGGCCATGTCTACGACCGATCCCAATAGTCTGTCCCGTCTTCGAATCCTACACAACACAACCAATGGGAGAAAAGAGAACAGTGAGGTCAAGATCACAGAGTTGACTAATTGAAACAAGATTAAGTGTACGATTAGGGATCAGATAAGTGTGGGGTAGAGAAACAGCAGAGGTGGAAATATGACTTATATGACTAACATGCATTTGAGAGCCATCGGCAGTGTGAATATCAGGTAACGTAGAATAAGATGTAATAGAGGAGAAAAGTGTATGGTCAAAGGTTATATGATTGCAACAAGCGGAATCAAAATACCAAGAAGAAGTACCTAGAGTAACTGAGCGAACAGTAGAGGGTGTACCAGAAGTAGAAATAACCTTTTTGACAATAGCTTCAATGTCCTAAAGAATGTAGGGTGGTGGCGAGATAACAACAGATAAGAAACCAAAGGTAACTGTAGTAGATGCAAAATGTGCTGAAGACTGATCTCAACTGTATATTGTGAAGGGTCCAGAATAATAAGGATAACTATCTGAATAAGCCATGAGGTGATTAAATAATGAATCATAAAGGAGAGCCAGTACTAGCAGAGTAGAATTGGATAAAATAGAGTGCACTGGTGAATCTAGAACATCGAAAATAGTTGGAAACCAGGCCAAAATGATTAGAAAAAGTGCAAAAAATAGGTGAAACAAGTCAAAAATTGAAATTCGGCCAAACATGGTACAAGGCTGATGTCAGTAGAGGCGTAGCTCACGTTAGCATGGTTGAGGCATGGCGTAGTGTAGCAGAGAAAGCGCGATGCACGTTAGCAGCTGACGGAAGTAGCTTAGGGCTAACGTCATCGTGTGGGATGCGTGTGTGGCTAGGCCAGAACAAGCGTGGAAGCGGCTGACGGCTGAGCAGCTGACGCGGTTGACCAACTAACAACTGAGCGACTAACGACTAAAGCATGAGAGAGCGTGTGCGAGTGAAGGCGGAATAAGATGATGCACCGAGCACAAAAGTGGTGCGTGAGGACGCGTAAGACACTTTCTGGTGATGAGATCGATGCTGGTGGAATCTTGAGAAGATTCTGATCAGCTTGATGCTAAGGAAAAAAAATTTAGAGAAAAAAAAATATGGCGAAACAGTTTGATCAGTGTTTGGGTGATTGAATAAAATGCTGCAGTACCACTGTGTACGAGACTAAGCAGAAAAAGAAAAGAAAGAAGGCTATAATTTTAGGATCTATAATTCTGATACCATGTTAGAATTGTGTATCTGTATTATTGAATTAAATGAATGAATACAATATGAGAAGCCTTTATATATAGGCTAAAAAGAAACATAGATAAGTATAGAAAAAGATAGAGATACAAGGAGATAGAGATGGAAGGAGACAGAGATAGAGATACAAGATAAGGATAGGGATATAAATAGATAAGTATAATATAAAAATATACATTAACACCTAGATTGATGACGATAGAGGATCGTGGCAGCGTACCTAAGGAGCATGAGGACGATAAAGTGGAGGTTAGAGGAGAAGCCGGATGAGAGATAAGAGAGAATGATTCCAGACCTGATAGAAGAGCCAAATGTGGTAAGCCACCAGTATCAACAGCCTTGTTGTTACAAACATATAATCAACTATTTGTTTCTCTATCAAATCTCTCTCTCTGTTACAATACTTCTCTGTCTTTCTCTCCCTAGGAATTGTTGAACACGGAATGAATCAAGAATTTGTGGTGTACATGTGATTGAAGATTCGAAGGAGAATCATATAGGAGTCGTGTGTATGGACATGATTGTCGTTTGCCCTAGGTTTTTTTATTTTTTTTATACATTTTTTTTGCTATTGTAATGCTGTAATCTGAGTGGCTTTAGATTCTACAATATATATATATATATATATATATATTTGTAATCTTTGGTGGTGGTTGTTGTTGTTATTGTTGTTGTTGTTGTTGTTGTTGATAATGATGTGTTGTTGTTGATGTTAATGATGAACCAGATTGTAGATCCATATGTTTAGTTTGGCACAGAGAGAGAGAGAGAGAGAGAGTAGGTTTAACAGATAGATATAAAAATTGAACATATAGGTCAAAAAATTGAACAGATCAAAATATATGATCAAAAAGATAATATCAAAGAATAAACAGATAGGATTAAATTTGAACAAATAGATAAAAATAAGTTTGGTAAATTTTAACAGATAGATCAAAATTTTAATAGATAGATTTTAAAAAAAAACCAACAGATAGAAAATTTGGATAGATAGAAAATGTACACAGATAAAATTTGAATAGATAGATATAAATTTGAACAGATAAAAAAAAGTTTGAACAGATAGATATAAATTTGAACAGATAGTCAACGAAAAGTCAACAAATAAAAAAAATAACAAATAAATTAAGGGATAAAATTGAAAACAAATGTCCTCTAAAATCAATGAAAATACTTTTCATCAAATTATTTCATAAAATGTGGAATTCTCATCAATAAAAAATATTCACTGAACCTAATACCTTAGCCTTCATTAGCTTGGACTTTTCAACAATTATCCTTCTAAAATTTTCTAATTTACTCCAATGCGTATTAGATCTTTTTATATTTCTCTACAATATTATAAAACCTTTTGGAAACTTCTGAATTTTTTCAGACTTATTCGAAGTTCTCTTAAATTCTAGATTCTTCGTAATAGAACCTTTTGAATTTCTTTAAAACTTTTTGAATTCTTCTAAGAAAAGACGAGACTCAAAATCAGCTTAATTTCGGTTTGTGAAAACTTGTCCTTTAAAAATTTCTTTCGAGCCATTTCACACACTAAAGTCGTCAAACAGTGTTAGATGTTGACAAAACTTGGCTCACATGACTAACTAGGCATAAATGACTTGTAAAAAAAAAAAAGAGAGTTGAAATCAGGTCTTGGGTTTGAATCTACAACATAATTTCTGTTTTGACACACTTGTATATCTAATATATATATATGTGTGGTTTTTTTGAAGGTTTTAATAGTATTATCATCATTGTAGGTTTGAATTAAAGTTTCTTTGGATAATTCACATATACCAATAATCCATTGGCGGAAGGACTTCTTATTAGTAACGATCCATCATCTGAAATTGATGGGATTCCAATTAGGCCAGAATATTGCAAAGTTTTTGTCTTAAAAGCAAAAAAGCTGAATACCTGTTTGGAAACACCATGTCGAGGACTAAGGACAATTGGAGAAGTTGAAAGATACATTGTGTGGCGTTCGATTCATGTATATATTACAAACTTATTATTTTTAATTTATATCAAATGTTTTATAATTTTTGTAAGTTTGAAATTAATTATATTGTAAATAATTATTATTTTTTGTTTCTTTTTGCAGATGCCTACCCTTTTGAGTAGGTAATGATATCTTCACATATCGATATTAGAGCTTACTGTTGATACTTATGCTATAATATGTGTTTTGATTTGCACTGTTGATTCTAAAATTCATGTTGTTTTAAATACAAATTCAAGTTATTGAATTATTTGAAATTATTAGTATTGTTAGAAGATATTATATATATTTCTGTAATAAATGTTTGGTTGATTTTGTACTGTTACAGGACATATATATTATTATTATTCAAATACAATTTTGTAAATTTGAATTTAATATTGTCCGGAAAATATTAATAATTGATATTGTAAATGTATTTTATTTTAGAAAATATTAATAATTTATATAGGAAAATAAATTTAATACATTATATATGCTTTTATTTTTTGCAACGCCTAGAACTGTTGCAAAACTACAATGAGTTAATAAAATATATATTTAATTTTGGAAAATAATTTTTTTGGCGATAGTAAAAACTGTCTCTGATGTAGTCATCATTTCCTTCGTGATTATTAGAGATAGTTCTACTGTCGCAAATACATATTATTTCAATTTTTTAGTGACAGTTTAAAATGATTTAATTCTCTTTTTTGCAATGGTTTAAACCGTCACTAATACTTAGTGACAATAATTGTCGTCTCTAAAAATTACTTTTTGGTGATGTTATCCTAAACCGTTGCTGAAAATTGATGCCTTACCAACTTTTTTGTGTCAAATTAAATCGTCACAAAAAGCATCGACTTGCCATCACCAAAAGAAAGTGACAGTCAACGGTTTGTGTCCATCACAAGTATCTTTTGCCCTGCCCCTTTAGATTAAAAACAAATCAAAACATGACTTTAAGTTGATAAAATTAAAAATTTAGAATTTATTTCATTACAACACCAAAACCTTTTTCTTTTTTTTTTTCGTAATTTTGTCAACAAAATTGTAGGGGGAAAAAAAAAACACACATGTTGCAACATTTCTTGCTTGTTATAATTTTCATCACTTACACTCCTATAATAACATCCTCAAGGGATATTTGAATCGAAATCTTCACATCTATGAGACGGACTATTCGTCAGAAAACCTTATTACATAAGTAGTACTTGCGTATAAGCACAAACACAAATATTAAGTTTCTGTAATCACCAAACACATCATATCAAGATGAACTTTCAGGAAATTTCACAGCCTCGTGCACAGCAGAAAAATCGAGGTCCCCCAACCCCATGCTTCTGGCTTTCTTGAATGCCTACATGCACAAAAATGATGTGTGAATTCAATTATTTAACAGCTGTGGAAATCTATATATGTATATATATATATATAGAGAGAGAGAGAGAGAGAGATCTTTTAATTTTTGGCCATTCTTATTTCTAAGAAGTTAAGTGTTAATTTTTATTTTTATTTTTTTATTCCATTACTTCAGGCAATGAATGATTGAAATGATCAAGACATGAAAGGAGTGAAGACATATTTTAGGTATAAGAGGCACCAACTGACAGTTCGAATTTTTAGGACTAGTTTCTAATTTTATTTATTTCTTGTTTTTTCCTCATTTTCCTTATTTGATTATGGAATATATGGGATTATGTAAAGAAGAAACTTACCTTTGATTGAATGAATATTGATTAAGAGATAAATATGAAACCCTAGAGTGGTTCTCGTTTATTGGTTATACACCAATGAACTTTTCTGGCTAAACTATAAGGATAGATAATAACATGTCTTCAGTTGTTTCTCACAGTGAGCATTAGTTCATATACAGATTACAGAGAAGCAAGCAAATGGCCTTACCTCATTGGCAGCAGCTGCCACTGGCATTGATACTGCATTTTGATCACCGAGGGCAAGAGCCAACCTCATGTCCTTCTGCTGATGTTTCAGAGGAAATGCAGGAGAGTAACTCTTTTGGATCATAGTGGGTCCTTTCATCTTAAACATTGGATTAGCAATTCCACCCAGGTCCTACCAGAAAGCAAGCAAGACATCAAGAGTCGGCTCAAAATTAACAGAAATCTGAACAAAAAGATACTAGTTAGTCTCACCAGCACGTCAAGAAGAGTTTGGGGGTTAAGTCCACTTTTGTCAGCCAATATGAGTCCTTCGGAAAATGCATTCATCATACTGCAACGGAGAAAACACTATCGAAGTTAAACCAGATCTGTGCCAGATATTAAAACATTCAAAGATTTGTCGAAATGGTGTGCCATTCTTACATGAACTTGCAATATGTACTCCCTTATGGACATAAAAAATAACTTGGTACAGAAATTACTTCCAGTATAACCAACTTATAGAAGACCCAAGCAGGAAAGAGCCAAGTAAGTAAAGGGGACAAAACAAATCCTTAAAGCTAATAGTACGACTCTCAGTTGGAGATTGTATATACTAAGATTGATTCATGAGTTTATATTGTTCTAGGCTAGTATGTGAAAAAAAAAAAAACAAACAAACAAACAAACAAATAACATTTATCAGGCAGTACTATTCGTATTGCTCAAGCTGTTTGTTTATCAATATCAACTGTTAGACACCAAAGTATCCTAAAGGTTCAAAATGTTGGAGATGGGCCAAGCTATGTACATCAAGCTGTGACACCCTCTCTCATGAATGATCCACTCTCCTGTGGGGATGTGCAACCCCTGCTTGCACATGGAAAGGCAGACAGAGTTGGAATGAAGTGCAAACACATAAATAGAATGGATGAACATATGCAAACAGGGAAACTTGAATCCAATACCTCCTATGATCAAGCTTTGATACTATGTCAGACGAAAGTTCAAGCTGTTTGGGATAGAGATACTGATACTGTTGGCACCATAAATCTACAGATACCCAATGCATATCAAGCTCCCACATCAACAGCACATATATTAGTTACTTGGGAATATACAGTGACATGACATATTGCAGCAGTACCATAGGCCTAGAAATTTCGTCAATTTTTTTTTTCTTCTTTTTTTGAGTTCAATTTTGTCAATTTTGAATTGTATTTTCAAAATTTATGTATATACATGCAGACACAATGCTAAGCATCGGCATATATGAATCCCAAACCTATGTCAAATTCAGAATATGTGAAGTGTCCTCCGCATATTATCATATAAAATTAGGAGATGCTAAATTCACAGCATTTTTAGGTTGTATTCACAATCCTCCTCACATAGGTGGGTCCTACCTCGTGAGTGATGGGAATTGCATACAGCTATAATGGATGCGCATTTGCAATCTCCCAACAAGAGTGATAATGAAAATCTTTAATTTCACCAAGGGATCAGGATTCTCTGCAATGGCTATGCTATTATGCAATGTATTAAACCAAACAATGACATAACAAATCTGATTTTCAATGTGGTGAGATTTATTTTGTTGATTTGTATGAGCTAACTTATTTACCACTAACTTTATTTGTCAAGCAATATCTTGTGGTTTCTCATACTTGATGTCAAGAGCTCAAGTCTTCCTATTCTTTTGTTGATCAAAAAATGGTTAATGGTTTTGATTTGACAAGTAAGTTTTGCTTTGCCATATTCAAAAAAAGTTTTAGTTGTCAATGTATAATCCAGGCCAATTAACCTCACACACCAGCTAAATTGTGCTCTGTAAACTGCTGTAACAAAATAAGCCGTTTTATTTGTCAATGTAATAATCTTTTACCCAAAAAGCAATAATTACCTCCCCATAATCATGTTGACAACAAGTTTCATTTTTGCTCCATTTCCAACATGCCCCAAGAAAAAAGATTTCTTTCCCATGACATCGAAAGCAGGAAGTGCTTCCTCGTACAATGCCTACAATTAAAATAACTAGAGATGATCCAATCAAAATTGAAATAACAAAGATACACATATAGTCTACATAGAAAAATAGACAGACTTACATATTATCCATTGCTAATAGCAACAATTATGATCATTGTAGCATGGCCTTGACGAGAATTTCTTCAAACATGTGATGGGACAAACAATATGACGATATTTGTGTTGCTCCCATATATTATAGAAAAGAGATAGAAAGAGAAGATGAGGGTAGAGAGGGAATATTGATATATATATATAACAAAAAAATACATACGTATATGTTATTAGGCATGTTGCGCATGAGGGAGGGTGAGAGGCAAAGTCCAACATCATGTGAGTACAAAAGTAATACTAAGGCCCCGTTTGGGGATTTACTTTTTTAGTTAATTAACCAAAAAGTTACTAAATTAGCCAAAAAGCCAACAACTCATACCAAAAAGTCAAAGATTCTCTTTTCTCTCTACTTTTTGCACATCTTTTCGTAATTAGCCAAAAAGTCATCCCAAACATACAAGTTTTTTTTACCTACCTTTTTAGCCAAATAGCTAAAAAGTTACTAAATTAGCCTATTCCCAAACGAGGCCTAAGTATACAAGCCTGAAAGCAGCTTCACCTCAATTGCTAACTTTTAGGGTTGAGTTCTAACCAACACCGTATACTATAGTATCAGATCTTGAGGACCCAAGGATGGGTAGGGTGCATGTCTCTAGCCTACACATGGTAGGTGATGTCAAGTGAGCACGCTGTGCGTGAGATAGGGTGTAAAGCGAAGTCTCATATCACGTGAGTACAAAAGTAATGTGAAGTATATAAGCACGAGGATCTAAGACCATATAACAGGGTATCAAAGCCAGGGTACTCAGGATAGGTAGAGTGCATACCCTGGCTTGCACATGGCAGGCAGGTGCTACTGACTGAGTACATTGCGTGCAAGGGAGGTTGTGAAGTGAAATCCCACATTAAACTAGAATGAAAGTAATGTGAAGTATACAAGCATCCTGTGTAACATACATATCCCACATCTTACAGTCTTCATAAATATATATATATATATATATATAAGTAATCTTACATTTATAGCATCAAAAGCCAATCCAAAAATACTATAACATCATACGAACCAATATGAAGTTAATATTTGTGGTGAGGTGAGACCATATGATAAGCGTGTTCTGTGCAGGAGCCTTGTGCACTAGGGCTTTCAAGCAAACAATTCCTATGATTTCCTTTCATCTAGTTTGTATTTACTTGTAAGATAACTTACAAATGACAAACATCTTCCACCTTTGAGAGTTCCTCTAGATGCTCACTATACATGTCAACTTCCCAAAACATATATTTAATGAATGGTTGAGCAATATTATTGATCAATAAATACCATAAATGTTGTGTAATATATGATTTGCACTTGGGGCTCGTGCCTTTATGACTATAAACATTATCCAAAGTTCACCCCTTCATTTGACAATTGTGCTCCCTATAGTGTATCAAACATGAAAAAGCAGGACAATGTAAAGCTAGCAAGCATGCCAGATTAATCCTAGAAACTGCATAACTCTGCACTTGTTACTTCAAGTAATTTTACCTTCTCTCCTGCAGCAAGGATTACTAGCTGACCATCTTCAGCAGGCTTTTTGCTACCTGAAACTGGAGCTTCAAGAAAAGAACCACCCTTTGATGTAATTGCCTGGCAAGATCAGAAGGCACAAAAGTGTCACTACTCCATTTAAAATTGGCATTTCTTTTAAGAAAAAGAAAGAAAATCCCAAAAACACAATATGTATGCATGTAAAACTATTGAGATAGAAAATTGAAGGAAAATCCATAGAATGGCATAAAAACCAAAGATTGACCTTTTGAAACTCTTATTGATCTTCAGTGAAAATGCATCACCCACAAAACAAAGATTGTAGATACCACCAAAGACCAAAATTTTCTTTTATGTGGTGTCTTTAAAAAATCAACCTATCTGAGTGTTTTTTTTTTTTTTTTTGGGTGCGTCAAGAGTGGGCAGGGGAACAAGGTAAACAAAAAGCAGTTTTAATGGCATGAAATTCAAACCTCACTAATCTTTGAAGAAGTGTCAGAGTCAACTGTTGACATGTCAATGTAACCTTTTCCATTGCAAATTTGCTCGAGAACACCATCTTTGTCGAAAACAACCTAGGCAAACCAAAACGTTGACTGAGTTAAGATGGTTAAAATGTTAACGTTAAGAACACCAAACTTGATTTACCAACCGAAAGAGCTGCAGAAGGATCAGACAACATTGCAATGGTATAGTTGCACTTCTTGACTACTGCTGCAGGGGTTTCTGCAACTGAAGCTCCATGCTCCACCAGTTCATCACACTACAATCACAAAATGCCGCTAAAGATGAGATATTTGCATTGCACAGTATGAACATGTTTGAGTTGGTTGACATAACATCTGACCAGATCAAACACTGTAGATCAAAGCGCATAGGGCCCAAGCTTTTGGCAGGCTTTGAAAGTTAATTTACAAGTTGAATTGGTCAAGAATAAAAAAACAAAACACAAATATTGAGCAGTGGATCCTAATCATATTCGGTTTTCTTTTTTTCCCAGTGTCAACTTTCTCAACAAGTTTTACTCTTTCTATTTTCAGTAATTTTTGTCACTTCTTCTCAGAAGCAACATGCAGAGAAAAATTGTGGCAAGAAAATTAGGAGGAAAAATCAGAAATGGGATGGGAAAAAGGTGGCTAGCATGTAATCTTATGAACTGACTTATTTGGTATGTATTGAGATTGCAAGGCAAGACCACCAACTTCTACTAGAAAACATGTGCACGAGATTGAACATTTATGTACAAGAGGTGAGAAGGAATGAAACTACTATCAATGTAACACAAACATGAGGGAGAGGGAGAGAGAGAGAGAGAGATATGACCATGGTATGTCAAATGCTTAAACAGAGACCATATGACCGCTAATCACTGTCAAATTGTTCAACTGTATGATAGTTTATCAAAAAAAAAAAGACTATGGATTAGTGAAAATGTGCAAAAGCTTTGTTAACAAGGGCCTAGACAATTCTGTGCTTAGCTAGCAACAATAACGGCCATGAACATAAAGGGTTCAACAACTCAGATAAAATACTTGACATCAGAACTGTAAACAGAAATTTTTCAGTCATTTTTTTCATAAATATATTGGCCATTCAGGGCAGAGTGATACAATAGATCTTTTAGTGGTTTCAATTTACAACCAAACACTCTAAATTATCTTATTCGTGAATCAGTTGACTTTAAGATCATCAAATTCATATTTTTGGGACAACTGAGCTGGTTACCAAACCTAATTTTTTTTTTTTTTTTTTACCTTCAAGAGGGTACGGGATGAAAAAAGTCCTCATATAATCCTGTTAGAAATTTATATTGGAATTCATACATTTCTTAACTATTTTTTTTGTATGGATTCTTTTAATAAAATAATGTTAAGGAGTTTCTTTTAGAATTTAGAAGAGGTAATTTGAAAAAGCAATACACAATATTATTTAAGTAATATGGAACTACTGTGTCAACCCATTTTCTAAACAGAAATCACCGAAATATACTTCAGAACAAATATGCAACAAATATATCAATTTTATAATGGAAAATTTGAAGATCAACCTTCATTGGACCAACTCAAACAGCTTGTGATCAGTCATAAAACTAGTCACTAGACTCACCACCTGATATTTTCATCCTTTTCTAATACTCTTCCATAGTCTACCTTGAAACTGTCTTCTTTTTCCAATAAGTAGCATTTGTACACTTTTTTAGATTCATTATTGCAATGGCAAATACCAACGAGTGCGCCTGGGGCATTATTTGGGTGAAAAGTGTTTAAGAAATTCACAAAAATGTTTGAACAAAGTTTTGAAAATTAGTGAAAAAGTGTGTGTTTTTCCCATAGTTTATTCTTTTTCTTGTTTCTAAATCTAAAGGTATCTCCAACCTTACTCAAACCTATATCAAATTTAAATTTGGGTACAAATCACTCAAAAATCTCTCCACTCCTTGACTCAAAACTTAAATCAAATTAAGTTTTACCCAAATAAAGGGAGACTCAAATGATTACTCAATTTTTTTAAGACCATGTTATAGCTTTCAAATTTACAATCAGATTGAAAGCATCAAATCTCAGAAAATATACAGTCATCCACCCAAAACACATACACATATTTACACATTAATACATGTATATGTGCACAAAAAATTACATAAAAACGGTGGGAGAGAGAGAGAGAGTACCCTAGAAAGAGTGCGATTCCAAACAGTGAGCTTAAATCCATGGCGGAGCAAGTTCATGGACATGGCCTTCCCCATGATTCCCAACCCTAAAAACCCAACCTCCACCTCCATTCTTCTTCTTCTTCTTCTCCTTCTCCTTCTCCTTCTAGTTCAGTTCCAATGAAGGCAATGCTCTTGGCTCTAGTACTACCCTGATCGAATAAACTAATGTTAGTGCTATTTTCACACTCACGAAAGCATCGCCAAAAGGCAACAAACCAGAAATGGGTTAGATTAATATTTGTATATACGCATTGTTTGTTATATTTTAATTTTATAACGCATCGTTGTCATTGCATAGATAAATAATTCAAAAAATGAAAGGTAATTAAATAATTAATAAACAAGAGTGCTATATGTATCGATTAATTCTAATCAATACAAGCTTAATGAAATAAATTAGGATAAATTATATTGACACCTTTAAAGTTTATATTTATTACAGTTTTTTTTTTTATTTAGAAAATTACACTGACTCTTGATTAATTTAATTTTATGTATAATGGTCATTACGGTAAGGAGAATAGTTATGAAATTTTAAACCTCAGAGAGAAAATATAATTTTCAAAAGATGAAGAGAGAATTATAATAAATATAAATCTTAGAGGGCGTCAATATAATTTACCCAATAAACTAATGATAGTGCTATTTTCACACTCACAAAAGCATTGCCAAAATGCAACAAACCAGAAATGGGTTAGATTTATAATAACATTTGTATATACGCATTGTTTGTGTATTTTAATTTTATAGCGCATCGTTGTCATTGGACAGATAAATAATTCAAAAAATGAAAGGTAATTAAATAATTAATAAACGGTAGTACAACTTATATCAATTAATATCAGTTATGACATTATTATTAACCTTATTTATTATATAAATTATAAATATTAAAAATATCTTAAATTATGTCACATCATTAATTAATATATCAGTTAGTATATCAATTAATGCATATAGCATTATTCATTATTAAATCACAATAGATGGTATGTATGTATGTATGTATGTAGGTATGTATGAGGGCCCTCATTATTGGGTTGGTCTGTTCTGTGAATAGATCATGGATGATGGGGGTATTTGGATAGATCGATCTCTGTGTTCCACGTCAGCATACTTTTCTTCCACTCATTTCTAGGTTTTCTCAATTATATTTATTTATTTATTTAAATTAACATTACGTCTTCCATTTTTTTTTAAATATTTTTTTCTAATTTGTCATTTTGTGTTCTCTGTTTTTTCTTTTTGATTTTTTTTTATCTTCAGTGTTTTTTTCTTAAATTATGCCGAAAAAATAATTTTTTTCCGATCCATCTTATATAAACAAGTCCAACAAGTACATTTTTTTTGAAAACTTCTTAAAAGAAATTGAAAAAACCAAAATAAAGTATAAAAGAAAACCACTAGTTTTTATTTATTATTTTCTTTTTTAAATTTAATTTTTTTTATAAAATTTTTCAGTTCATCTCATTATGTTGAATTTAGAAGCCTTTAGCGTTTTGAAAATTTTAAACAAAAATCCACTAAAGATGAAAATAAAATATAAAAATGAAAAATCACCAAATCAGTAAACTTCAAACATCCACGAGTGAAATATATGGTATGCGGTCAATAGTGGCTCCTTTAAGTGAGTAAAACCCCTTCAACACAACCCAGAGGTGAGTGGCAACTTGGTAAGGACCTGGGGTTTAAGTCTCTAGGTCCTGGGTTCAACTCCCCTCTGGGCCAATCTCCTGGGCGTAGCACAGTTGGTTAGGAGGTTGACCTCAAGGATGCCTTATCAGCTACTTGGTGTGGGTTTAATTCTCTTTCAAATTTACAATCAGATTGAAAGCATCAAATCTCAGAAAATATACAGTCATCCACCCAAAACACATACACATATTTACACATTAATACATGTATATGTGCACAAAAAATTACATAAAAACGGTGGGAGAGAGAGAGAGAGTACCCTAGAAAGAGTGCGATTCCAAACAGTGAGCTTAAATCCATGGCGGAGCAAGTTCATGGACATGGCCTTCCCCATGATTCCCAACCCTAAAAACCCAACCTCCACCTCCATTCTTCTTCTTCTTCTTCTCCTTCTCCTTCTCCTTCTAGTTCAGTTCCAATGAAGGCAATGCTCTTGGCTCTAGTACTACCCTGATCGAATAAACTAATGTTAGTGCTATTTTCACACTCACGAAAGCATTGCCAAAAGGCAACAAACCAGAAATGGGTTAGATTAATATTTGTATATACACATTGTTTGTGTATTTTAATTTTATAACGCATCGTTGTCATTGCATAGATAAATAATTCAAAAAATGAAAGGTTAATAAACAAGAGTGCTATATGTATCGATTAGTTATAATCAATACAAGCTTAATGAAACAAATTAGAATAAATTATACTGACACCTTTGAAGTTTATATTTATTACAGATTTTCTTTTTTATTTAGAAAATTACACTGACCCTTGATTAATTTAATTTTATGTATGATGATCATTACGGTAAGGAGAACTGTTATAAAACTTTAAACCTCATAAAAAAAATGTAATTTTCAAAGAATGAAGGAAAAATTATAATAAACATAAATTTCAGTGAGGGCGTCAATATAATTTACCCAATAAACTAATGATAGTTCTATTTTCACACTCACAAAAGCATTGCCAAATGCAACAAATCAGAAATGGGTTAGATTTATAATAACATTTGTATATGAATAATGCTGGGGACCCCTTTTTGGGGGTCACCCCCTCATCTCCTTTGTCACGTGGCAGGGGTGATTGGAGGAGCAGGAAAAAAAAAAAAAAAAAAAAAAAAAAAAAAAAGGTAACCAATAAGAGAGAGAGAGGGGGTCAAAGGGGGTGGGGGAAAAGGAGGATGAATCATTACTCTTTGTATATACGCATTGTTTGTGTATTTTAATTTTATAGCGCATCGTTGTCATTGGACAGATAAATAATCCAAAAAATGAAAGGTAATTAAATAATTAATAAACGGTAGCACAACATATATCAATTAATATATTAATTAATATATTAATATCAGTTATGATATTATTGTTAATCTTATTTATTATATAAATTATAAATATTAAAAATATTTTAAATTATGTCACATCATTAATTAATATATCAATTAATGCATATAGCATTATTCATTATTAAATCACCATGGATGGTATGTATGCATGTATGTAGGTATGTATGAGGGCCCTCATTATTGGGTTGGTCTGTTCTGTGAATAGATCATGGATGATGGGGGTATTTGGATAGATCGATCTCTGTGTTCCACGTCAGCCTACCTTTCTTCCACTCATTTCTAGGTTTTCTCAATTATATTTGAAGCAATACTTTATCATTATTAATTCACCACTAGTGAGTGGCAATTGAAAAAAAAAAAAAAAAAGACACAAAACACATGTGGCAGTGGGTGGGATCCACTGCCACATCATTAGAGCCACCACTAATTAGTGGTCTTAAGTATTTTTATCATATTTATTTATTTAAATTAACATTACATCTTCCATTTTTTTTTAAATATTTTTTCTAATTTGTCATTTTGTGTTCTCTGTTTTTTCTTTTTGATTTTTTTTTATCTTCAGTGTTTTTTTCTTAAATTATGCCGAAAAAATAATTTTTTTCCCGATCCATCTTATATAAACAAGTCCAACAAGTACATTTTTTTTGAAAAATTCTTAAAAGAAATTGAAAAAGCCAAAATAAAGTATAAAAGAAAACCACTAGTTTTTATTTATTATTTTCTTTTTTAAATTTAATTTTTTTTTATAAAATTTTTCAGTTCATCTCATTATGTTGAATTTAGAAGCCTTTAGCGTTTTGAAAATTTTAAACAAAAATCCACTAAAGATGTAAATAAAAAATAAAAAAGAAAAATCACCAAATCAGTAAACTTCAAACATCCACGAGTGAAATATGAATAATGTTTTAGAGCACTAAATTGGGAGCTCTAGAGCATCACTAATGATGTGGCACCGTGGCCCCCACCAAAGTGATGTGATGTTTTGGCTTGAGTTTGTTTTTTTTTTTTTTAAACTCATTAGAGCTATTAGTGGTCCAAAATTAGTGGGATGAATCACCACTGGTGAAATATATGGTATGCGGTCAATAGTGGTTCCTTTAAGTGAGTAAAACCCCTTCAACACATAAAATTGAATATATTAATCAAAAATTAATTAATTTTATTAATAATTATAATTTCTATCACTTGAAAATTTAAATAATTTTACAAATCTAAGTTAATTTAAAGTGATTTTAAAAATGTAAGTGAAAAATTAATAAAATTGCAAATAATATTAAGAGGCATTTATTAGTAAATCTCAATTAGAAAACTTATGTTCCATTCATATTAGAATTCTTATAACCCATCTTTTTTTATAATTGTGTATCCAAGTCAGCTGCACGCACCCTGACTAATAACGGGACCCATACAAAGTTTTCCCTCCACATAGATCGAGCAAATCTCTGATAGAGTCCACGGGTGTGACCCCAAGGAGCGAATTGATCCTAATAAGAGTTGAACCTGAAATTTAAAGCATCTCTAATGGTAAATGCTATAATAGCATTGCCAATGCTATAATTAGGCAATAAATAGTAAAAAAATGATAGAATTATAGCAATGATACTCCAAAAGTCACATGTCATTTCGGCAGAACCGAACACAAAAGCTGGTGTGTTCCGATGATCAGTCGGAGGTCGTCCCCAACATACCAATTTTTGTGTTTGTTCTGCAAAAATGGCAATTTTGCAAAAATTTATCTGTTTTGTTGGAAGAAAGGAAGGGAAATGGTTGGTTTTAGCTGAGTTGGTGATTATGGCAGCTGCCATATTCGACATTGTTATATTATAGCAATGATAGCTCTAATAATAAACTATTGGAGACACTCTTAAAGAGAGCACACCCTTAAATCTCAAGTTACACCCACTAAGCTAACCCCTTGAAATCTTCTTGTAACCCATCTTAGTCTCTTGTATGACACAATTGTCACCAATTATATAGATTGTAATAAGTAAAAGTGAATATTATTACCTAAATTTAATATGTTGAAAATATTATTACCTAAATTTATGTGTGAATGATCCTGTTTTATATGTATAAAAATATTGTAAATTTTTGAATTCACATTTTAAATAAATTAAAATAATATTAATTTTTAAAAACTGTGAATATTTTTAAAAAAGTGTGAATATTGACACTAATTTTTATATTTTTGAACAAT